GTTTTATTCTTCTACTATGGAAACTGGAAACCACTCCAGAAAGCGGTGTTTTATTCTTATAGTTTCCGCATTGCCGATGTTATTGCTGTTGCTCTTCTTCTAATTCTACTGGTAAATTTTCTTCCCTCATTCAGTGTACCCAAAGTGAAAAATAGGTTGCTTTTGAGTATGTGTTTTTTATTCTTTCGGAGATATACGTTTGTATGTTTGGTTGCTGAGAAAATGCTGGAAACGTTGAAAGGAAAAAAAGGGTTTCTTTAACTGTATTTGGGGTTTACAAATTAGTTGTGCGTTTAATTTGTGAAGCAAAGTTTTCTCTATTGAAATTATAATGCTTTCTGCATTGCAGGAATTCAATTTTCCTGTGGATTGAACAGTTTAAGATCAAATACTAGTGTGTTTGTGCAATAATGGTTCTTGGTTTGAATGCAAAGAACCGGAGAGGGCCTATGGCTCGCGTTGAGTATCTAATCCAAATTCAGGAGATTAAACCCTGGCCACCGTCACAGTCACTGAGATCACTTCGTTCCGTCCTGATTCAGTGGGAAAATGGTGAACGTAATTCGGGGTCTACCAAAACTGCTTCGCCCACACTCGGTTCGATTGTTGGCGAGGGAAAGATCGAGTTTAATGAGTCATTTAAGTTAGCCGTGAATCTAGTGAGGGACGTGTCTGTTAAAGGCCGGGATGCTGATGTTTAATAAGAATTTCTTAGAATTTAACTTGTATGAACCTCGAAGGGAAAAGATCCAGTTGTTGGCGACCGGCATAGTGGATTTGGCCGAATATGGTGTTATCAAAGAGACGGTAGATGTTACTGTTTCGATGAACAGAAAAAGGAGCTATAGTAGTAACACTGCTCAGCCAATCTTGTTCATTAAAATTGATCGAATTTACAAGGGTCAGAACATTTCTTCATTGAGAGGCAGCCTGTCGAAGGAGCTACCACAGGACAGGAAAAGAAGTGAGTCTGTTTCTTCTCTCATGGATGAAGAATATGCCGAAGAAGCTGAGATTGCTTCATTCACTGATGATGATGTTTCCTCACACTCATCTCTGACCGTTTCTTCTTCAACGTTGGAATCTAATAGTAGTTCACTTCCTCAAAATAAAAAGGTAACTTCTTATTTCCTTTATGTCCAAATGCTGGAAAAATTTTATTTGAAAGAACTATTTAACTGGAATGCACCTTTTTTTCATTGCAACTGGATTGCAGAATGGATCAATTGCTGTTATTGATGGCAAAGAAGTTAAAGGGGAAAATAAGTTGGCTTCAAAGTTGAACATGGCAAAGACAGGTGTAGACTTTGAGAGCTTTGTGGATGCTCGTGCTTCCACATTTAATCCTTATGGTTCCAATTCACCTCTACGAGAAAATGTTGTTACCCATAAATTTCATTTGTCTTCATCATCGTTGACTATTGAAAAGACGCTCGATGAAATCAAGAGCAGCATGAGTAGCAATGATTGTGATCAAAATAAGGAAGATACATCTTCTGGTTCTAAGGCTTCAGCTGCTGATGATGCATATGATTGTTCATTGGAAGGATACTCGGGATATGGCTGGCAAGAAAACAGACATGAAGGACAATACTTGGAAGAAAATGGGCAATTGAATATTCAATCAGAAGAAAATGTTTTAAGCCAGGGGAATCATGGAACAAATATAGCAAAAGTGATAGACTAATTAATGCCAAGTACGTTCGAGCTTCATCGGACTTGGCTAGGAGCAATGGGTGTTGGGCAATAACAGAATGGGGAGTCGAAGGAAGTTGGTGTTGCAGCAGATGCACACCATGGGGCAGGAACTTCAGAAGCAAATTGAGCAACGAAAGGAAAGTCTCGAAGATATATCCCAAGGATACCAGAAGTGCCGTTTTGGATAACAAATTGCAGCAGTTGGAAAACAGGATAAAGATGCTTGAAGGAGAGTTGAGAGAAGCTGCTGCCATCGAGGCTTCTCTGTATTCAGTAGTTGCCGAGCATGGAAGCTCCATGAGTAAAGTGCATGCTCCAGCTCGACGCCTTTCTAGGCTGTATCTTCATGCTTGTAAGGAAGGATCCCAATTAAGGAAAGGGAGTGCAGCTCGAAGTGCTGTTTCCGGACTTGCTCTGGTTACAAAAGCATGTGGAAATGATGTTCCAAGGTACGTTCAAATCATGAATCTTGTTGTTTCACACGAACAATCTTTACAAGGGCTGGCAATTGGATTTTATTTTTTTAACCCATACATCATATGCATGATTTCTCATTAGCTCATAGATCATATGTATGATAACTACAGATTGACATTCTGGTTGTCAAACTGTGTTGTGTTGCGAGCAATTATAAATGAAAGTATCAGAGAGTTAAAGTTACCACTTTCTGCTGGACTCATGGAAAGAAATGGAGGTGGAAAGGGAAAGAAACCAGCATCATCTCCACTGAAATGGAAAGAGTCATCTCCTGGGAGAAAAGAAAATAAAACTTCTAGTGATTGGGACAACCCACTTGTCTTTATTTCCGCTCTAGAAATGGTTGAAACATGGATCTTTTCTAGAATCATCGAGTCTGTCTGGTGGCAGGTAACCCATAAACTATTTTTCTTCCTTTACATCGATAAAGATTTTCTATTACATGATCGTACACTGATTGTCATACTCTGATAGTTGTCTGACCAAATTATGTTCCTTATTTCCATCTCAGACTCTCACTCCACATATGCAATCTGTGGCTATACAAGTTGATAGGTGGGATCTGGCTCAAGTAAAAGCTATGAGAGGAGACGTAGTTCAAGTAATCAAGACCAAAGGAACTTTTCTTTAGATCATTGGAAGAAGGCTTTCAAGGATGCTTGTGAAAGACTTTGCCCAGTTCGAGCTGCAGGGCATGAATGTGGCTGCTTGTGTTTGCTGTCTAAACTGGTAAATATATTTTGCTTTTGAAAATTGGCTAAAACGCACAAGACACTATATTTTGCAGTGAGCCGACTAGGGCATTTGAAAGACTGAAACTACCAGCTTTCTTGTTGGTATATTAACATTTAAACTAATATAAGAGACTATAAAAGCATTGGAGGTAAAACTGAGAAACTCTAGAAGAGCTAAACTGATTGTTGCTTTACCATCTATCCTAAAGGCTGCTACGAAATTTAAGTAATGTGATGATTTGTTTCCCTTTTAATTATAATCCATCCTTATCGTGCATCTAGATAATGGAGCAATGCGTGGCTAGATTAGATGTGGCAATGTTCAATGCCATTCTTCGTGATTCTGTTGATGAAATCCCTACTGATCCTGTGTCTGACCCCATTAGCAATCCTCTGGTGCTTCCCATTCCAGCTGGGAAAACAAGTTTCGGTGCTGGTGCACAACTGAAAAATGCAGTAAGCAATGCAAATGTGTCTCGAGATTAATCTTTGAGTTTGATAATGGTGTATTATGGTATCATAATCCATCAAAACCATTATCATGTGGTAGTTGCGAATGTTTGCAATATTTTGATATTGGTGATAGTACCTTGGTTTTTCTCCTTTGAAGCAAAAAAATTTCATTTTTGTGGATGTCAGATCGGAAACTGGTCTAGATGGTTGACCGATCTCTTTGGTATTGATGATGACGACTTGGTTGGAGACGAGAATGACAAGGATGACGGTGATGAGCGACAAATCACGTCATTAAAGTCTTTCAATCTCCTTAATGCTTTGAGTGATCTCATGATGCTTCCCAAGGACATGCTTCTAAGTAAACCCATCAGGGAAGAGGTTCAGCACCCTAACTTTAAACCTTTTGGTTTATCTCCGGGGCTCATAGTCATTGCTTTGATGCTTATTTACGCTGCTTAATCTTTATCTTCAAAGGTATGTCCAGCATTTGCTGCAACATTGATCAAGAGAGTTCTTGACGTTTTTGTCCCCGATGAGTTTTGCCCCGATCCAGTTCCAGATGATGTGCTTGAAGCCCTGGAAGCTGAGGTTAGTCTTATAATCTTGAAGTACTCATAGATTAGACACCTTCCATGTGCGTATGACTTGAACTTGAAATGTTAATTTAATTCATGAAGTATGATGCATTCTTGACATATCTACTCCGGAAAAGAACTTTACTCGAGTAAAACCGTGTAACGATTTCCTCGAGAAGTGCTAGCTTGTTTGATAAGTCCCTTTTTGCCTCTACTTTGATTAAGGATCCTCTTGAAGCCAGGGAAGGGTCTATTACAAATTTTCCGTGTGCAGCATCTGCTCCGGTTTATTCGCCACCTTCAGCAACATCTGTTGCTAGCATCATTGGAGAAGATGGAAGCAAATCTCACCTGAGAAGAAGTGGATCATCAGTCCTCAGAAAATCACACGTAAGCGATGATGAACTCGATGAATTGAACTCACCCTTATCTTCAATCTTCAATGACTTCCCATCATTTGTTCAATCAAAGCCCAACTGGATATCAAAGGGAAATGGCTATCAAAATGCCATCAGATATAAACTCCTAAGAGATGTGTGGATGAACTCGGAATAAATCATAGACTACATATGTGGATGAGTATGTATAAATGGTTGACACTACCGTTTTCTTTCTTGAGCTGTAAATATGCAAGTAAATTTTGGTTTGTTATTCTATATAATCATTCATGTATAAATCAAAGATTCACTATACTTGTTTTTACCAAAGCCATTATTAATGGTAAAATACTTTTAAGAGACATAGCTTTTTGGCATTTAATTAGAAAAACAAAATGATGTAGATGGAAATGAAGAACACAAAGCAATCTTTATGTTATATATAGGTCAATGATCATCTGTGCACTTAGCAAAAATACATTACATGCTTTCAAACTGCATATTAACTCGCAAAAGGTAAACAAAACTTGAAGGCAAATCCAACTAGGTTGTTTGCAACACTTACAAAACTTGTCTATCACTCAATAGTTACATGCTTACTACAACGCCAGAATATCCCTAGTTTTAAAGAATAGAGACGGAACATCACTAGTTTTAAAGAATAGAGACAATCACTAGTTTTAAAGAATAGCGACGGAATATCACTAGTTTTTTTAAAGAATAGTGACGTTTACGCCGTCAGCTTCTGTGAAGAAGTGAGAGCATTGATATGCTGGAGATGTAACGCAGCCAAAAGACCTTGCCATGCATCTGCTGGTGCACCAGACACCTGAAAGTTGAGAAGCTTCTTTTGCCTACTGTAATAATCCTCCACCAACTTCGCCTACATACATCAAAACGATTATTCGGAGAGGAAATTTTTTCCACATTTGATACTTATTTCAAGAATCCAATGGTTTATCATATTGCCACACATGCATTTCACTAACCAGAAAAATAATAACTAATAAATAACATGTTGCAGACAAATGGATAATCCAATGTCATTACCTGCTCTGAGTACACATGGACTTTTTTCTTCCAGGAATTTCCTACATCTTTGGAATTGCCTATGTGAAGAACCTCGCTTTCTGTACTTTTCAACATATACTCTTCAATACATTTAAAGTTCACAACCAGATCAATGTCGGTAATTTGATCAAGAATCTCCTGCAAGAAAAAAATAAGAGAACAAGCAATTCAATGAAACATTAAAAAAAAGGGTTCATAATAATTCAGCTTTAAAATCTTAGCACCAAAAGGTAATTGATTTGCCTAAAATTGAATAGGACTATAATACTATATATAAACATGGAGAAACCCTAAATGTAAACACTATCAAAATCACATATTACTTACAGCTTGGATCCTGGTACGAGGAATCCCATCAAGAATAAAACCATTTTCACCTCCATAGTAACCTTCTTCAAGTCTCTTAGACAACAAAGCAAAAATTACATCCTCTGGAACAAGCTTCCCTTCATTCACAGCATTTGCAATCTAAAACCCAAATGACATCAAGCCATTAGCATTCTTCACTATATTAAATATTAAACAAAGTTCAATAATCAGACAATTTACAAATTTCTGTGTAATCTTTTACGCTAGAAAAGGATCTTCTCCGATATTACAGATTTACAGGAACCTTCAAAAACAGACAAAACAACCCAAATTTAAAAAAAACACTAAAATTTAGACCTGTTCGTAAAGAGAAGAGCGGAGATTAAGCTCTTGTCTAACGAGGGTGCCCATTGAAATATGTGGAACTTCTAGAAGCTTCGAGAGCCTCTCCGAATAAACATGTCGTTTGACCCCAGGCTCCCCTATAAGCACCCACTGTACTCCCCTCTCAGTCGCCAACCCATCCATGTTAATTTTCGGTTGAGCCCAGCGCCAATCCTGGTGAGCTTGTTCGTAGTCGAAATATTCATCGTCGTAGGGGAGCTCCAAAGCAGCGGCGGATCCAAATGATCGGAGTGGATTAACTAAGGTGAAAACGGCGGCAGTGGCAGCTCGGAGCTTGGGGAGGGAAGCCATTGCAATGGTGGCTGTAGGATTGTGAGGGATGAGAGAGAAGGCCAATTGTGGGAGAGGGTTAACGAAAGAGCAGAGGATCTTTGTTTCGTTTTGAGATGGGAAAGAGACAAATGCCACTGTTGAATGAGAAATTACGACCGTGGCATTGACACGTGTCAGTTTTCGTTTGTTGGTTCGGTGATTGAAAATATCATGTGGTTGTAATTTGTGATCCGGGAAAACGATGTATTGTCACCATCCGATTTGCGGCTTGGAACAGAGAAGTTGTCCGGAGCTTTAGAAATGGTTGAAGATTCATTGAGTGACACGTGGATCCCGTTGCAGCTTAACTTTGGAATCAGTCTCCAATAATGTTGGATTGTTGGGGTAAAATATATAATAGATAACAAAACTATATTAGAAGAAAATGTCTAAGAAGGATGGTCGAAAGACTAATTTGAAATGTTAAAAGATTAATATTTTAGATTAAGCGTAATTTAAAATATTAATTTTTTAACATTTTCAATTGTACTTTTTTTTAATCTAAAATTAAGCTGTAATACGATAAAACTACTCATATTTAAAGGATGGTTTTGATTATTAAACTTTAAAAGAGAATAAAATAATTATTAAATTTATTATATTGTTATTAAATTATGAAGTATGTATATTTGGTTGGTTGATCAAATTGTTCATCTTTATTCCTTTAATTATGGGTTCTAGACTTATTAAGAGTATTCCCTTCAATATCCTCTTCTCTAAGGGTGTGTTTGGTTGGGGGAATGTGAGATTCTCATGGGAATGGAATCCACATTCCCCCGTTTGGTTGGTCGATAATGTCATTCCCGGTAATCTTACATTACTAATAGTGGATTTTTTGGAGTATATTATGGGGAATGTCATTACCTTCCTTTTCTCAGGTATTGTTGGATTACTGGCGTTTTGGACTAAAATGCCCTTAAAAAAATTTCTTTAAAAAATATCTTTATTTTGTCATTGAATAATAAAAATTCTACGAATGTTAAATTATAAATTTATCCTTAAATTATTTTAGATTTACAAAAAAAAAAGTCTATAATTAAAATTTTATATGAAGTTCAGGGGTTAAAATAAAATTTTACTCTTTCATTAAACCTTTTTATTTTTTCAATTTTGTAAATATATATATATATATAAATTTTATGAATTTAAATTTTAAAATAAAATATATAAATATTTTCCAACTTGTTAAAAAACAAATATATAATAAGGACAATTTGGTCAAATATACATTTCAATAATCTTTTATTCCTTTAATCAAACACGTTAATTTTATATTCTTGCTAACCCAACCAAACACAAAATACAACATTCCCAGTAATCCTATTCCCTGGTAATCTTTTATTCCTACTGGTAATCTTACATTCCGTGAATCAAACGCACCTTAAGTGCAATTAATATTAGATTTAAAATTTATAAAAAAATTTGTTAGTATGATGTTAATAATAAGTTGTAATCAATTTAAGGATATTATTTAAGGAGTTTAATGATCACTTTGTAAGAGTTGATAAATTTAATGATTTTTTTAAAATATTTATATATTTATTTGAACATAATTAAATAACTTCAGATATATTATTCATAATTCTAACATCTAAATTCGGGAGAAAAAAAAACTTAAATTTAAGAGGTGCTGTTGTACGCCATAAAATAATTTAATTGGCATACCAGTAAGTTGTATACTGAATTCACAAGCATTTGTGTTTCAACATTGCTAGCTCACCCTTGAAAAGGGGGGGGGGAAATTGAGGGCAACTTAAGAACTGTATCTGGTAAAAAGAAATAAATCCATGTTCTTCAGTTCTCTTAAGCATTTTTTCCCAAAGAGAAAATTAAAAACAAGAAAATCGTGTCAATATTCTAAAAACTAACAACATTGTCAAGCATGGGAGAAAAAAAAATAGAGGGTTTACTTAAAAAAACATGGGAGAAATGAAGAACACAGGTACACAATAAAACAGGGTTCTCAAAAGCAAGGGTTTATCTCGATTTCAGGGCATTTGTCTATGGATATCATTCTCTTATCCAAGGCCGATGTCCACTATTACGAGTTCTTTGCGAGTGATTTATTGCATCTTTCACCCCGTTTTCTGCTTTGTTAATAAGACCAGTTGGTGTTGGGTTTTGATTCTGGGTTTGTTTTCTCATCTGTTTTAAAATTAGTTGCAAGAATCCCAGTTTAAATAGCTGTGTAGCACGAAGAACAATCTTGAGCACTTACTCTAAAATAGATCAGATAAGATATCAGGAAGAATCCATATAAAACAGGAAACAAAGTTTCATGATAGGTATCAAGAGTCAAAATATTATTCATTCACATATTGCAGGGCAGTTTGTAAATTATCACCATGAGATGATGAACATTGGTATCATTTTATAGGATTTCAACACTTATCATGTTTGTATATTCTGTTATACATATTCTCATGGAAAACCCATAAATGCATGTGAAAATGTTTTAATATTTCTCTTGATTTTCCGAAACACTTTTTCGCATAAGGGATATAACTGCCCCTGGCTCGGGAGCTCCAAATACTGAACTCCCTGCAACAATGCAATTTGCTCCTGCTGAAGCCGCCATTTCGATCGTTGAAGGCCCTAAACCACCATCCACCTGCAAAACAACCCCAAAAAAGCTTCAACACTTGGTCATTTCAGCTAAGTTACTCGGACTCGAGTGTAACCGTCAGATACAAATTTCATCCACGTATTTGGAGGATCCTTGGAAAGTCCTATCTCCATACCTATATATATGTTGTATACGAATACTTCAACTAAAATGAAGGATCATTGTAACATAACATTGCAGTAATGAAAGAAGATGGTGGTTTCGAATAAGTAATCATCACCGAATTTGAGCTACGAATAAGTCCTAGAATATTACAAAGTAAGAACTTCACTTACCTCTATGTCAAGTGATGGGTACTTCTTCCTTAGAGTGCTCACCTTCAAAGCAAGTAAAAGAAAATGTCATTCAAATAAAATCTAGGCATAATGACTAAAATAATCCTCAGCATTTGTCATTTTTTTCAATTGTGCGCTTAAAGTTTTTCTTTGGTAATTTAAACCATAACGTTCCATTTTTTTAAGAAAAAACTATTTCAGATGATCAGCCAACGGTCGACTAACAACAAAAATAAAGAGACAAGGAAAAGGACGGGTGGGTTGGGTTGGGTAAATCTACCCAATCTGGATACTTTTGCTTCAGATTTTTGCATAGAAAGAAAAAATGATACGAACCTTATCCATCATTTCTGGCATGAACTTTTGTCCACCAAATCCTGGTTCTACAGTCATCACAAGAACCATTTCCACAGGATTTTCGCTGTCAATCTAATAGACAATCACCCACCAAAGAGAAGAATTCAATCACATTGACACAAATCTTTGCTTTTTAAGAAAACGACAAAATGGTGATCGAAGCATTAGGCTGAAGTCTGAACCCCAATCAATTCCAAGAACCAGCTAAAACAAAAGATTCAAAATCTAAATAATCAGACAAGGAATTCATACCAGAGGATAAACCTCCTCAATTGGTGTCCCAGGCTTTAACGCCACACCAGGTCTCATGCCTTTCGACTTAATTATTCCTATAAGTTCTTGCCAATTTTCTGCAAAAGCCGATACTATTGCATAAGAAACTAGTAATATGAGACGTAGATAAGATTTCAGGAAGTAAAACAAAAATGAAAATGAAAGACCGGATCACAACCCACCTTTGGATACTTCAACATGAAAAGTGAAACCGGATGCACCAGCTTTACCCATAGGTTCAACATAATCAATCGGATTAGTAACCATAAGGTGGCAATCCAGATATGCCCTGTAGGAAAAGCAGAATGCTTGATCTATTTAGAGTTGTCAAACTTGCTAATAATATTAATGAGCCATATTAGTGCCAGGGAATAAAGAATGTTTACTTTGTGTGCTTTCTTAAACTCTCAATGACAGGAGCGCCGATAGTTAGATTTGGGACAAAGTGCCTGTATATAAATATAACAAAATTCAACAAGTAATCAATCATCTAGAAGTACTCGATAAAATTAACAGAAATAACCTGGCCATTAACATAAAACTGCAAATCTAAGTAACTAGAGCAAATATAATGAACACAGCTTAAAAAACATGAATAACTGACATATTGCAAAAATCAATCCAATTTCAAGTGCTAATATAACAATATGGATTAGTCATTAAAATCACAGAAGATTTACTCAATTTAAACAATTAGAATTAGTCATTCTTTTCCAATGTTTCTACTTTCTAATCACTTTCCAAGATATTAACAATTATGGATACATAGTTCATCACTTTCCCAACATATAATCATACCCTCAGCCTAAGTACAGAATTCATAAAAAAAATTGCATAGCAACCATTGATTCTGATTACTTAAAGTGTCTCCTTTGCTTTGCTAAAAAAATCATAAAAATAGAAGAAAAAAAAGTTGAGAAGAATGAGAAAGAAAAAGAACCAAAATCCTACAAGGAGAGAACTTTTATCAAAGCAATGAAACATACCCATCCTGCAAAAGAAAACCCAGAACCAAAAAAGGGTTAGATCTTTTAAAATAAATGTTCTTCTAATTAATTATCCATTAAAAGAGGAAAGTTAGAGGTTTTTACCATGATATCCATATGAAGCCAATCAGCTCCAAAGTCAAGCATGCGCTTTGCCTCCGATGCTAAGTTAGCAAAATCGGATGAGAGCATGGATGGAGCGATTTTTGGTGTTACACCCATATTTGGAATCCGACCCGATTGTGGCCTTTCCTTTTTCGGGTTTGCAGATGTTTTCGGACGGCTTTCTTAAGAGACGATGGACCGGTGGCTGAGGTAGAAGAGGTTCGTCGAAGTTGGAGACCTGGGTAGATAGATTTGTCTAAGCGGCACCGTTTATTCCTCAAATTTGTTGGCGTGCGTTAACTACTCTTTATGGCTAAATTACGCATTTATTCACTTTCTCTTTATTTCTATTATGATCACTTAATTTTAAAAAAAATATTTTATCACCTACTCTTTGAATTATTTTTCTATCCCGTTAAATATATATTTTTATCATTTAATAATTAATTTTATTTTTTAAATTTTTTTATCTAGTTTGTTCTTTATAGCATTCAACGCTTATGAATTTAGGTAGTTCCTATTCTCGGATGTTGTGATCAAGTACATTAATTAGTTGTGCTCTAGATTCTTTTGGAAAGATCTGGACAAGCCTGTTAAGGGAGCTAAGGTGAGTTGGGTGAGGATTTGCACCCCTAAGTCAGAGAGACCTAGGCTTGCATAATGTGAAGGTATGAAATAGAGTTTGCTCCGTATTGTTGATTCATAAATTGTTGCTGCAGGAGGAATCCATTTGAATTGCTTGAATTCATAAATATGTCCTTAAAGGTGTCTTCCTTTAGCTGTATGTTTTTCCCCAACATTGCAATTGAACTTAGAGAAGTTTATTGCGTCTCCGTGACTTGATTGCTCGTTTCCCTGATTTGGTTCGTCACTCCCTAAACTCAGTTGCGAGTATTTGGAAAGCTGTTAGAGAGCAAAGGTCTAAGCTACCTGGGATAGGGTTATCTGGCATTCAGGGTATGTTCGTAGAAACTCGATGGTCGCTTAGATGGTCGTTCTTGACAAGCTATCAACTAGGAATATATTGATTTTTTAGTTTGGATGTGGAGGCTCCGTGCTTATTGTACATAGGGGGAGGAATCGAGAGATCATATTTTCTTCCAATGTGAGTACTCGAATCGTTTGTGGATTGCTTCTTTGTGAGCTCGTGAGGTTCACAAATCTGTCTTGATTTTGGATCAGGAATTGGTTTGGGCGTGTTGCACTTTATAATAAAAATTTATTTGTGTTTATTTATTTAAAAATTATACGTTATTAATATATGTGTGTTTACCATTAAAATTATTTATAGATCTGTGTCTAAATGCAGTACATATTCGTGCTAGCTGGCACAAATGAAAGGAATCCAAGAATTAGATCCATACATATTTATTTATCCGTGCACGAGAAACAGCCATGAATTAGCATCTTATAAAGTAAAGAAATTGAAGAAATTCAAAGCTATAGAATGAATTCAATCAATTGATTCGAACATTATATATTAAATGTAAAAAAGAAAATAAGAATTTTCTAATGGTTGGTAAAAAAGATTAATAGATTTAATTTAAAAAAATGAATTTAATTATTTAGGTAAAAGAGTATTTAAAAATGGAAATGTGCGGGGAATTTTCTGTAATTCAATATTTTAATCATTGTTTAATTTGATACACACATAATTTTATTATAGAATAAAAAAATTATTTAATTATAGTTCATATTTTGTTGTTTTATATTATTAAAAATTTAATTTTACAAATTTAATATTTTCCATATTATTTTTAATATATTATTTTCTATATTTTTTACTAATGAAACTCCAATGGTGTAATTTTTAAAAGTTATAAATAAAGGAATACATTTTTGTCTGAATATTAACACTTTTAAAATTCTTCTTCAAATAATTTAATTGTCTTATTTTAAAATATAGGATTATCTTGATTTTTAAAATATTTATTTTTAAAAAAATTTATTTCATGCATCGCTTTGCTTATGGTTATTGCTGTGCTCAAGGGGGGAGGTTCTCATTGTCTACTCATTTAGCATAACGCCAATAAAACGCTCTCTCCCATTTATGCCTTCGGGTGTTGCAGTCTCCATTCACAAAAAAGGAAGAAACGCTTCATATTTTTCTCTGTTTTACTGAGTAACTGATGTCAAGGTTTTAAAGAGTTGCAGGTATCCCAAAAAAAAAAAAAAAACTAAAGAGAAAGAGAGAGATGGGTTCGTGTGTATCAGTGCATAAGAGCTCTCAAGAATCGGCCATGAAAATTGGACTCTCTTTTGGGTCTAAAACAGACAATCTCATCATCCCACCTTCACTTGTTAAGGAGAAACCCGATGCTGCCAACGGTGATTCTACTCTCAAATCTCAATCTTTTTTGTTTTATTTAGGTAAAAGGGAACATTTTCAGTTTTTTTATTCCCCTTTTTAATGTTTGTGGATTATGCTTTGCTTTGATGATATGATGTAAACGGATGCAAGGATTGTCAAAGTTGTTCTTTTTTTTACTATCAGTACTTCGATCTTGATAGCAAGTGATTTAGTTTTTTACTTTCTTAGAAACTGTATGTTTTTCAATGTCTGCAATGGATGTCTGCGTAATTGAAATTGGTATATGACTCTGTTGATTATGAGATAAATATGGTGCCTTTTCATTTTTTTTTGGGTTCAAATTTCTGGTTTTTCTCAAGGGGCATTAGCATTTCATTCTTAGCTTAAGTTTTAGGGCTCCATTCTCTTTCTCAGATTATTTAGACCCTTTCTTTGACTTCCCTCCTCCCCCTTCATCTCCATGTTGTAGTTTTACTTTTAAATTATTTACTAATTAATTCATTTTGGATTAGAGTTCAGTTCTTGACAATTTGTCTGATTTTTTTGAGGTACTCATCTTTTTTAGGGCCAATTTTCTTTTCGTTTTTCCATATTTTCAGCAGGGCATCATGTGGTAGATTTAGCTGCCCTTGGTGAAAAGCTTGTCAATGGATGGACCACTCTTTAAGGAAGAGCAATTGGTTTTAAGCAAGCTTTTCTTATGGATATAAAAAAACTCACAAGATGGACATTTTGGATTATGTTGTTCATTGTTGTGGTCCTTGCTATACCTATACGTAGAATTTGTGTTCAATTCAATGCAGTTGGCTGTGCATCACAGTGCTACTGATATCGATGTTAATGTCAGTTAAATATTGTAGTGATGACATTCTTCCGAATGCGAACAATATCGGCTTATGTTGTTGTGGTCCTTACTTGATGTTGAATTTATGTTCAATTCAATACTGTTGCCTATGTATCACAGGACTACTGGTATTTATATTAATGACAGTTAAATATCATAGAGATGACATTCTTCTGAAGCTAGTCTTGTTGTCTCTTAATAATGTACCGTTGCTATCGATTTTGATCATCTTGGCAGTGGGAATATGAAGTTCATTTCTGTAGAAATGAACTGCTGGTATGTTTCTAATAACAAATTGAGGTTGTATTGCGGACTTGGATGCTACAGTTTTCGAAATTTTTGTTTTTTACTCTGCTTTTCGTACATGTTGAATTTTCTTTCGAGATTGGAATTCATAGTCTATTGTTGTATATAGTAATGATCTACATCATGTTGATGCAGATTTTCATCTTGTTTCTAGATATGTTCTATCATAAGTATGCCAATGCGTAACGATGACTTTCTGTTTTTGCAGGTAGTGAAGATGAATCCTTTTTTGATTCCCGAGCATACCTGGATTTGGATTGTGATGACGATTTCTTCAGTGTTAACGGTGGTAAGGATATTAGACCGGTTTGAGTTGATTCGTATGGCAAGCTTTACATAATCACCATATCTGTTCATTTCTTTTATGTTATTTCCTACTGCACTCTTGTGTTTATGCTTATATAACACTTCGTTTTAGTTTTTATGGGAGTACCAGTGTCATAGGCCGGGACTATTGTTCCTTGGATGTTTTACGAGTAAAAGATCGAAATTTCTGCTAACTCCTGCTGGAATCACCGTGCTATCTCCATTGCCATTTTTTTTCCTTTTGAGAAATCAGTCTCTAGTTATCGTGTTTTTCTGATTGATTATTGTTGTCCGATCCAAATATTGTACATCTGTATGCAGATTTCACTCCATCTGGTGGTAATACCCCCCTACATCATAATAGCTTCTCCATGGAGGCACCTAGAAATTACAAGGCCACTGAGGATGGATCTCCTGGCTCAGCTTGGGAAACGTACCCTGGAAAGAAAAAGAAGCTGGTTGAACTATTCCGTGACAACATTAATGAAGATCAAGATGTTGTTCATGAGCTGAATGCCTCGATCAACCAGGACACTGCGAATAGAAAGCTCGAAGTCAAACCAAAAATCCAAGAAATACTACCTCCAAAATCTGCTGATGGTACCCCTCAAGTCTCTCGAACCAACTCCTGGTGTAGTAGTAAAAGGACTGCAAATGGTGATAACCTCATGTTTAAGGAGAAGCCTCTTAGCTCCACGCAAAGTTGCCTTCCTAGCTTGGTTTCGTGTAATAGTTTTAGCGAAAGGAAGAAGAAAATGAGCCCTGCAATAGTAAATTATAAACCTTAGTAGCCATCGGTTTCCCGGCAAGTAGGTTGAAGAAGCCCAGAACTTAAGTCCTAGAGTTCGTGCTCGCAATATAACATAGAAGTTTTCTCGGATATAATGAAGTATTGGGGGTAGGGGGTCATGATTACATATGGGATGTAATGAAGTCCCAGAGATTCGGGCAATGTAAAAAGCATTACATTAAATATATGACATCGAAAATATTATATATACATATGTTTGTAACTGCTGTGTATGAAATCCAAATTGTGGTTTACAGGTTCATCTGAAATAATAATATAAGTTATGGTATGTTACATTACCAGGAAAAGACCCCTTTGATGAAAATGATTGCCATCATAGCTTTGTTTAAACGCCAAGTTTCCATGACTTTATAACCAACTAGGTTTAGCTTTGCAGGCAATCCAGGAAAAAAGATAACCCAAAATTTTACACTTCTTTGGCATCAGTTTTCAACACATTTTTGGACATGGATACGATGGAATATCATATTCGTCACTCACACTCGAAATCGAATAACATTATTTCTTAATCTTGGATCAAAGTTTCACGGTACAATATATAAATTTTTCTTTTCCTTTATATGTATATATATAGCATTAGCAAGTTCTCAACAAAGGCCAAGGAGAGGAAGAAGTGAAGAAATGAGATTAATGGAGGGTAAGTCCAGAATTTTCTTCGTGCTATTCTTTCTGCTGCCATTAATAGCAAAACGAGCCTCTGCAACTCAACATGTGGTTGGAGGTAGCCAAGGTTGGGATGAATCAGTGGACCTTAACACATGGGCTTCGGGTCAAACATTCAAGGTCGGAGACCAACTTGGTACGTTAAATCTGGAATTTAAGCTCTTTGATACATTGCAATACTTAACTGTAACCATTATCATTGCCGATGAAGATGGATGAAAAGCTTTCATTTCTGTTTTGGGCAACAGTTTTCAAGTACTCCTCAGGGCTGCACAGCGTAGTGGAGCTCGGGAGCGGGACAGCGTACAAAAACTGCGACCTGGGAACATCATTAGACACCAAAAACACAGGCAACGATGTCGTGAAACTCAACAAGGTGGGCACTCGTTACTTCGCTTGTGGAACATTGGGCCATTGCGAGCAGGGCATGAAGATGAAGATCACCACCGTCGCCGGCAATGCTCCTTCCGAGCCAGCTTCCGCTGATTCTGGTGCTTTTACGCCTCATTCTTTCCCGTATTTCTTATGTTTTCTCCATTATTACTCACTATGCTTTATTTTCTGTTTTGAGATATTTTATTTAATTATGTTGTTTTGGAGATTTGGGATTTTAAATGTGAGCCATTATTGAATAATATATGTAATTTCTATTGTTATAAATAAATGAGTTGATTGGAGGCAGATTTCTTAATGAAATTATTACTCTAAGACAAATTATTATAGTATTTCATAACCGAAACAACTAATTATATAGTGATTCATTTATAAAATTATTTTAATTTCAATTATTATAATAATTTGTTTTTCCGGTTAAAAATTGATATCATAACAATTTCATAATTTTTATATAAGATTTCAACTAAAACTTATTTAATAATAACTTCCCATTGAATTAGCAACATTGGATTGTAATTTTAAGTACGAAGAAAACAATTTATAGGATCTATTCAAATATCGAGTTACTCATTCAATTCAATAAAGTTAAATAATGGTATTTGGAATAGAATTCTCAAAATTGGCAAACAAAGTCCATGGAAAGTTGAATTTTAACGAGATTCTATTGATGATTTCGCATCTTATAAGAAATATTTTAATATAATCACATTATTTTCTCTTTCAGAAAAAAGTCCACTATGGACTCTTACTTAACGAATAGTAATTAAAATTAATTTTATGATATGCAAGTAGTAGAAAGAATTAAATGAATATAATATATATTATATTTTAATAAAATATATAATGTGATATTTAAATTATAATTTCTTTGACAAGATAGAAATATTAGTTTATTAAAAACATTCAAATTATAAGGAGAATTTACAATCACAGCTGTAAATTTAAACACATAATAAGAACATATTCTTATAATCTTTAACATAAGAAATTATCTACTAAGATCAAAAAAGGATAATATAAGGAAAATGTTTAATACTTAACCAAACAAATTCGAACAAAATATAGATACGAATAGATCTGATTGTATCGAAAAACAAACCACAAAAATTTATCAATCTATTGAAAGACCACTGACAAATCGTAAATCAGAATCAAACGTGAGAAATCTATCCACGAACACAAATCGCATATCTAAATCCAATCTAAGGGTCTAAAGCAGAGAAGAAGATCAATATGATAACAAATGAGCGTTATCTTGATCAATCGTGGTGATGTTAGATTCAATCCTAAAAAAATATAAACGAAAATAACGATCAAACGATTGAAAACATGTCAAAAGATATATAAAAATGTATAACAAATACAAAATTATTAAAAATTAACAAAATAAGAAAAAAAATATATAATATAATAAAATAAAAAAATAATAAATATCGACGGTTAACGACCAACGTTAATGCCACCAATAATTATAAAATGAAGAAAATAAAAGATTGACAGCTGTATAAAAGAAGAAGAAGAAACTAGGGTTAGAAGCCTGCATATTAAAAATTAAATTATAATTTTTTTATCTTATTACACATCTATTAACTAGTACTCAATAATTATCAAATAAATTAAATTTTCCCAAATAAATCTCATTCTTAAATTATAATTATATGATATTTATATTTTGATAAAACATTTAATGTGATATTTAAATCATCAGTAGATTTTTAAGAATGATATTCATTTTAAATATAATTATGAAAATAGTTTCCAAACACCATTAATTTAAAAAATGACGTTATTTTAGATTATTTTAGGCATTAAAACTAAAATGGTGTTACATTTACATCATAATCACCAATCACATCATTATGTTATTATCATTTTAACGATTCATTAATATAATTGAAATAAAATTTAAATTCAATCATATTATTAAAATATTAAAAATTTAATAATATAAACGATAGATTGCTTAATTTAATGATATAGAATATAATTTAACCTAAATTAAAATAACTAAAAAAAATGAAATTTCAATTAAAAGAAAAAAATCTTTAAAAAATTTGCAGCCTTTTGACTGTGAAAGAAAAATGGAGTAAGCGGAGCGCAGCGTCTTTAGGGTGCGTTTGGTTCACGGAATGTAAGATTATCAGGAAATAAAATTACTAGAAATATTATATTTTATGTTTGAATGATTTAACAGAAATGTAAGATTATTGTGTTTGATTAAAAAAAAATTATTAGAATGTATATTTAACGAAATTGTCCTAATTATATATTTGTTTTTTAACAAGTTGAAAATATTTATATTTTCTTTAAAAAATTTAAATTCATAAAATTTATATATATATATTTTTTATAAAATTAAAAATATAAAAAGATTTAATGAAATGGTAAAATTTTATTTTAACTCTCTAGACTTCATATAAAATTAAATAAAATTTTAATTATAGATTTTTTTTTTGTAAATTTAAAATAATATAAGGATAAATTTATAATTTAACATTTATAGATTTTTATTATTCAACGAAAAAAGAATAATAATTTTTAAAAAATTAAACATTTTAATCTAAAATACTGATAATCTAATAATACCTTAAATAAAGGTAGATAATGATATTTCTGATAATATCTTAAAAAAAATTACTATTAATAATAAAATATTACTGAAAATGCCCGAATGATGGGATTTCAACTGTTGAGTTGAAATGTCTTCTCTCTTTTCCAGTTTCGATTTCTATAAGCAATTATTTTAAAGTTGCCGGAGGAGACGATCTCCATAGATTGCGTTATGGAGAAGGCATCGGGGCCTCACTTCTCCGTCCTCCGTAATCCGACCGCCACCTCTGCTTCCTCTCCCGCCTTCTCCGACACCAACGCTCCTCGTCAACCTTTCGTTATCGGTAGTCCTCACTTCTTTTTTAAGCAAACAAAGAAAAGAAAACTATTCTTCTTTAGCTCCTTCAAAATCATTTTCCCACAAGTAGCTGAATTTCGCGCCTTTTATTTTCTTTTTTATTTTGAGAAACTCAGTAGATCTGCTGTTTTGTTTGCCCGCCTCTAATTTTCTTCCATTTCTTAAAATTAAATAAAAAGAAAGATGTTTTTTCTTTAAAATAATAACGTTTTTTTACATTTTCGGGTAAATAAGCAGGGGTTTCAGTAGGCACAGCTTCTGGTAAAACGACAGTTTGTGACATGATCATCCAACAGCTTCACGATCACCGCGTTGTTCTAGTAATCAGGTTCAGATTCAAGTTAATTTGTTGCTGTGATTACCTGAAATTTATTGAACTTTTAGCTCACCTTTATTTTAATATTTTCTATGAATGCAGGATTCCTTTTCGTGGTTTAAATTCTGAAGAGTTATACGTGTTCACGAGTATAATTTGATCATCCTGGTATGTAAATTTGATATTGTTTGCTGAAATTGTTGTCTCATGTTATATTCAATGACATTTTTTTATTGTGCATCATTTTCTTTGTTTGTATAGATGCATTTGATACCGAACAGCTTCTGGATTGTGTTCAGAAGCTTAAAAGTGGGCAATCCGTTCAAGTCCCAATTTATGATTTTAAGCTTCATCGTCGATCTTCTGATAGCTTCCTACAGTTAATTAGTTCGTTGTTGGTGAACTTTGTTTAATAATTCTAGGACAAGCTCCTTGAATTCAGTTAAGAACTAATGATCATTGTTTCAGGCACGTGTATTATGCATTTTCCTTCTCCTTTCAGTTATTCAGTTCTTTACCTATTTGCAGAATATTTATGAAAATTCCTTGATGAGAATTCAATAGATGTCATTTTGCAAACTTATTAGAATCTGTCCGTGTTTAATACATTGTCAGTGAATGCTTCTGATGTCATAATTTTGGAAGGAATTCTTGTTTTCCATGACCAGCGTGTCAGGAACCTTATGAATATGAAGATCTTTGTTGACGCATGTTTGACTTCTTTTATCTAATTCTTACCACCATAGCATCTCCAGTGATTGAATTAGACATTGGTACATTCACATTCCGTTACTCAAAATCTATAATCATGCGTAGCTGTCAAGGTTAAACAACTTGCAACTGTTACCAACCGCTAAAAACAAAAATCATGACCAAGTTTCAATCACATGAAATATAAGATTGATAGAACAAAATATAATTAAATGTATATCCAGAAAAGGATTATGTTTGGAAACCATGTATAAAACGTGCTCAAGGTCAAATTGTGAATTAATACTCACTATAGACAGCTTTAAGTTTTAAATAGACTATGAACTTCCAGCCAGCAAAAGAGGAATTCTTAGCTACAGTTGTTTTCTGAAAGCCAACCGAAATCAAATCAGTTTTAGAAATTTTAATTTTGGGTTCTTCGATCCTGGGGGAATGTCACAAACAAATTACTCTAAGAATATTATAGCTGGTTGCACTTAGACTAGTTGCATGAGTTTGCTTGCGTTTGTGTGTAACTTGAGCTTGTATTTCCTTTAGTGTATCTGTTTCCTTTTTTTTTTTAACTCTGACCATGTTTTCTTCTTTCTTGCTCTCATGGGTTGTAATGCTCACTAATTTATTTGGCAATGTGTTGTAGATGCTGATGTGAGGCTTGCTCGTACAATAAGATGAGACACAGTTGAGAGGGGGAGAGACGTAAATTCTGTTCTTGAACAAGTAAGCCTGTCTATACTACGATTTGCTTTCTAATTTAATACTTTGAGAAAATATTCCTGAAAGAGTATAAATCCCTGGGGTTAACAATTTTGCTTTTACTTAGTTTTTTCAAGCATTTTGATAATCACATTGCAATACTGTGTTATTTCTGCAGTATGCAAAGTTTGTCAAGCCTGAATTTGATGATTTTGTGCTTCCATCCAAGAAGTATGCTGATGTCATTATCCCTCGAGGAGGTGGTAATCATGTTGCTATTGATTTAATTGTGCAACATATCCGCACTAAGCTAGGTCAGCATGATCTCTGCAAAATATATCCCAATGTTAATGTAATTCAGTCCACATTTCAGGTATGTCTCACGGTCTATCTCTATAATTTTTCTGCTATAACTTTTTTCATCATGTAGAGTAACAGATGTATTTGGTGTAATTTTAATTCTTATGTAACCTGTTTATTTTTAATATACCGAGGTACTCTTTTCCTCCTTCCGCTACTCGGTTCTTCCTTCGGGAATGGGACTATGAGGGAGGTTTTAATGAGGCCTTCTACTTCTATCAAAAAAAGATAGAGAAAATAACCTCAGTGACCAAAAAAGTCT